AGGAGAGTAAGTCCATAGAATCGGAAGATCCTTTGATAAAAGTCGATATAGGTGATGGTGATGTAAGGCGCCCCGTATTTGTAAGCGGATTACGCCGAAGGAATGAAAAGCGATTTGATTGACGTACTGCGAAGACATAGAGGCTATTTTACGTAGGATTACCACAAGATGCTGGGTTTAAGAAGAGAAATAGTTGAACATCGCCTCCCTATCAAACAGGGATGGAAACCACATAAGCAGCCTCCAAGGAGATTTGCCCCTGAAATCAATTTGAAAATCAAAGAAGAGATTGAGCGACTCTTGAAAGCTAGTTTCATTGAAACCGCTTGGTATGTGGAATGGCTTTCGAATATTGTTCCGGTAAAGAAGAAAAATGGTAAGCTGAGAGTCTGCATAGACTTTAGAAATCTTAATGCGGCAAAGCCGAAGGACGAATATCAGATGCCTGTCGCTGACATGTTGGTTGATTCCGCGGTATGCAATGAAATGATATCCCTAATGGACGGTCATTCAGGATATAACCAAATTTTTATCACGGAACAAGACGTTCCTAAGACAGCTTTTAGATGCTCAGGCACGATAGGAACATTCGCATGGAAGGTGATGCCTTTCGGTTTGAAGAATGCCAGAGCTACTTACCAGAGAGTCATGAATTCAATTTTTCACGATATGATTGGAAATTTCGTGGAGGTCTATATCAATGACATTATAGTCAAATCAACAGAGGTAAGTCATCTTAATTATCTTGAACAGTCATTTATTAGAATGGAGAAATATCAACTGAAAATGAATCCTCTTAAATGTGCATTCGGCATAAGAACTGGAAATTTATTAGGGTTTCTAGTCAATAACAGGGGTATAGAGGTTGATAGAAATAAAGTGAAAGCAATCGTAGAATTGCTGCATTCATAAAAACAATTGCAAATGATCTTAGGAAAGATAAATTTTCTTAGATGATTTATTGCTAATTTATTTGGCAAGATAGAAGTATTTTCTCCTTTATTGAAATCAAAGAACCAGGAGGAATTCGTATGGAAAGAGGAACAGCAACTTGCCTTCGAGAGGATTAAAAAATATTTAAGGAGTCCTCCAATTTTGATGCCACCAAAATCAGGTAGGCCGTTGAAACTCTATGTGTCAACTACTGATACAACCATCGGGAGCATGCTGGCACAAGAAAATGACAAAGGCAAGGAACATGCTATATATTATCTTAGCAGAATGTTGAACGAAACCGAGAAGAGATATACCTCTATTGAGAAGATTGGTTTGTTATTGTATTTCACATGCACTAAACTGCGGCATTATCTTCTGTCAACATCTGCTCATGTGATATGTAAAACCGATGTTATAAAATATATGCTTACGAGGCCAATAGTGAGAGGCCGTTTAGCAAAATGATCACTTGCCTTGTCCGAAATGGATTTAGTGTACGTGCCGATTAGAGCGGTAAAAGGACAAGCAGTTGCGGATTTTATCACTGAATACCCATGTGTCCGGATCAGCGAAGATGAGGCAGCAAATTATGCACAATCAGTTCCATGGATGTTATACTTCGATGGATCAAGTACTTCTACTTCATCAGTGGGTCAGAGTTTTGATAGTATCCCTGAAAGGTCAGAAAACGAAAATACAAATGAAATTAGACTTCAAGTGCTCTAACAATCAAGCTGAATATGAGGCTTTGATTGTCGGTTTATATGTATTGGCTAACATGGCTGTCCGATAGTCAAAATAATGGGAGATTCTCAGCTCATGGTAAGACAATTAAGAGGAGAATATCAATGTCTTAACGAGAATATCTATGAACTTTACGTTAGGGTGAAAGAGTTATTAACCAAATTTCCTGATTCAGAGTTAGTACACAGCACGGTACCAGAATATGGAGGCTAATGAGTTAGTACAAATGGCATCCGGTTATCGCGTTACTAAAGAACTAGCTTAGGCTATAATTACCGAGATAAAGCGGCTGCCGCCTATGTCAGAACAAACACTAGTGGTGCAAGCTAAGCCAAAAGAAGACTGTACTTATTGGCAGACTCCCATTTTCCAATACTTGAAGGAGCCCCAATCGCGGGACAAGAAGTTGAGACGGCAAGCATTAAAATACATGTTACTTAGAGATGAGTTGTATTGGCATACCATGGGCGGAACGTTGTTAAGGTGTTTGAACAGTAATGAGGCAATCTTGGCAATGGCTGAAGTCCACGAAGGCATATGTGGTGCCCATTAAGCGGGTATCAAAATGAAATGGTTATTAAGAAGACACAGATAGTTTTGGCCTTCGATGACACAGGATTGCATAGATTATGCAAAGGGATGCAGATCATGTCAGATACACGATCCAATTCAGCATGTTCCCGCAGCACTTTTAAAGCCTATTGTAAAGCCATGGCCGTTTAGAGGAAGGGCAATGGACATAATTGGCAAAATATTTCCATCTTCGGCTAGAAAGCACTCATATATATTGGTTGCTACTAATTACTTTACGAAGTGGGTGGAAGCAGTACCATATCAGACCATAACCCAAAAGACGATTAGAGAGTTTATAGAGGAGCATATAATTCACTGTTTCGGTATACCAGAGATGATTATGGCAGATCAAGGGATTGTTTTTACTGGAGCGGAAACATCAAGCTTTGTTGCTTCCCGAGGTATCAGGACGTTGCATTCTACGCCTTATTACATGCAAGCTAATGGTCAAGCCGAGGCCACGAATAAGGTTATAATTAACTTGATTAAAAAATATCTTGAAGAGAACCCGAGAGAATGGGACCAGACACTGTCCACTGTACTTTGGGCATACCGAACGTCGAAGAGATCAGTTACTAGAACAAACCCGTATATGCTCACTTACGGTCAAGAAATAGTCTTGCCGCTAGAAATTACGGGCAATCTTTGAGAGTTTGGCTTCAAAACGACATGCTACCTGAGGAATATCGAGAAGCGATGTATTTACAGCTAGATGATTTAGATGAAATAAGGGCTGCGGCATAGATCACATGATTGCACAAAAGAAAAGAGTCGCACGGGCCTATAATAAACACGTGAGAGTCAAGCAGTTTGCCATCGGGAATTTAGTATGGAAAACTGTCCTCCCACGTGATGTACATACCCAGGCCTTCGGTAAATGGTCCCCTACTTGGGAGGGCCCATACCAGGTAACCAATGTGTTAAGCGGGAACGCTTACCGATTGATGGAAATTGATGGGAAGGAGTTCCCTTGTGCAGTTAACAGCAAACATTTGAAGCCCTTTTACCCGACAATGTGGGAGATGAGAGACTGGAAAGAAGAAACAGTGGAAATGACCAGACAAACTCCACACCATCAACCAAGCCCTAGATTTCATTATCAGTAAGCTGTACAAATCTTACACCAAGAAGAAAAATTGCTATCAACAAGAAAACAAATACAAAGCTCTACGCAGTCACTATCGGGATGAAGTCGAGCTGCCTCCGGATCACTATCACAAAATCTTTGAGATGGCCATCCATATGTGAGTTCTTCTGCTCACCTTGTGCGGTAGCCGAGAACATCTCGCACGCCATATCAAAGGTACGGTCTCGTTCCTTCTCTAGGCTCTCCAACTTGGCCTCCCGTGAAGACAAGAGACCTTGGAGTTAGACATTGAAATCGCCAAAGGCCGCAACTTCAAACTCGATGTCTGCCAGCCGCGCGGTAAGACCCCTCACTTGTTCAGAGTCCCGACGGGAGATGGTGACACCCGCGCGCTCTTTTAGTCTGGAAAGCCTTGCTCCTAGACGAGCTTGTTCCCGTTGAACCCGGGCAATTCGTTTTTCAGCCAAGGCCATCATCTTGCGATGCCATTCTATGACGGAGGAGACAAAAGGCAGAACGGTCTTCGAGAACGATGGCTCTTTCGCAAAGGACCGCCTCCTCTTTGATCTTAGCCAGATTCAACTTGTCAGCTTCCAAACCTTCCGGGAATAGGAGGGAGAAGAGCTCGTACTGACGGTGAAGTTCAGAACCGGCAATGGGTGCGACGTCCATCTCGTGAAGAAGCCCCTTCACCATTCTCTCTTTTTCCGAATCACGGGCGAGAGAAGGAAACCCAACGGCAAGCAACTTAAGAAATTGTCTCCACTCTTCTATCGCTTTCATGGAAAAACTATGAACGACTTGAGGAGGAAGAGGTGAGTTCATGATGGAAAGGATAAAGTGGAACCTAGATATGGAAGGGATCGAAAGAGACTGCCTATTTATAGCCCGGGCGAGAAACGGTTCAATGCACTATGGGATCGTGAGAACGAAAGATCAAGAGACGTGGGAAGGTGGAAAGTTTTTCTTTTCTCATGTGACGTAAGAGGAGTTACACTCTCGGCAAAGAACTGCAGAGGAAAATGAACGGTTGAAGAGTTAATAAAAACCCTCGTAGGCTATCATTACCTTGGAACAAAAAAAATTATAATTTGAAAGGCCGCAGGTTATCGACTTCTGACTCGATTTGATTCGAAAAGATTGGGGATTTATTAATGGATAGGATACAGTATGTATCTCCCCTACGGAGCGTGAAGACATTGACTGGGGATCGTACGACCGTCATAATACAGTTTCCATCGATAAGTTAATTGGTCACTTCCATTAATAAAAAGATGCAGAAGAGTGATCTGGAGCCTTTTTCGAATGGAGTGTCCTGGGAAATGTGCTATAAGGGGTGATGCATTTTGTCAAGTTGATTATTGATTAATTTGATAATGACGGACTCATTGGTTAGAGCCTGTGATGATAGAACCCCACACAAAAGCGGAAAAGAGCAGAAATTTTATACAAAGGGGGCATACACATATTTACAAGCCTGAAGGAAAACTTGGGAGGAGCCAGTTAAGGCGACGAGAAATTAAACTGTTGCCGCATGCTAAAACAAAAGTACGTAGTCTCGACTCTAAGGTCCTATTTTCATCACGAAGTTTCAGCCTGCGTGCAGCTTGGGCTTGAATTTTTTAGCGGAGCTGCTCGCACTCGCGGGTAAGGATTATCAAAATATCTTGCCGCTGATGTATGAGTTGAGTGGTCAGAACTGCAGATGCTCCATTGAGCCTAACTCGTTGAAGAATGTCAGTATAAAGTGGATCACTAGGACCAATTTCACCAAGGAGCCTTCTGTTATCTTGTTGATTAGCAATCAATTGATCTAACATAATTCGGAGTTCCTCTTCGGCATCGACCCTTTTCCATTTCCTTCCACCGATATTCGGTTTCGAGTGCTTCAGTAGAGGCTAGTCTAATGTAGTTATCTCGGTACACCTCAAGAACCGAGTCAATGGAAAGAGAGAAGCCCCTATAAGCATGCTGGAATGCAAAACAAGGAATAGAGTTTATCACGGGATCCAAATTCAGTAATAGGTAAGTAATTTCTCCTATCAGAAGCGGATTAGAAATAATGTGGGGATATCCATAAGACAGAATGTAAGATAACCTCCTCCACTTCTCCAAATTGCGTCACCTAGAAAGTGAAGACATGTCAGCATAAAAAGGAGAGGCCATACCATCATCCCGAGAAGTGGCGTCTCTACTCCCACTGCGAATAGATCTAGATCAGAAAGACTCTACAAAATGCGAGGAAATGCCTGAGAAAATGCCATTATGACAAGCCTTTAGTTCCGAAAGTTAAATAACATTAAGGGAGTTGGGCTTACCGAGAGAAGATGGGTGACCAGCATCGCAGGGTCCGCAAAGACTGAAATTCAGGAGTCGAAGCCTTGGCCACGCAAAGGAGAATAGCTTTGGTACCATCAGAGAACAGGGCATCTCGGTATGGAATCCACCAATCTTCGAAAGAAGGGGTAGCCCGTGCGTGTATACGAAAGCTAACATAGCAGGAGCGGGAAACCATCTCGTCTCTGACAACTTCCTGACATCGGAACGCCGCTTGGGGATACTGGCATTTTGGAGGTACAAAAGGAAAGTCAATAGAATATACGCAAGGCATAAGGATTCCCTGACTCATTCCAAATTGCCGAGCACAATACTGGAGATGATACACTTCGAACCCAGGACGAAACTTGCCATCGTCAGAGAAGAACAGGGGTAGATCCGCAGAAGTAAGAGTCTGCATCCATAAATCTTCATCCTCTGGATATTTTCTTGAGGTAGGATCTGGAAACCAATCGGAAATAGGGTATAGGCCAGAATGAAGGGCAGAATCAAAATCCAAAGACTCCTCTTTAGTCGAAAGAAAGTGTTTAAGGAAGAAAGCGAAGAGAGAGAGATGTGAAGAGCATTGCTTCGGTGGCTTGGAGAGGATAGTTATACCGAAGTTATCAAGACCAAGAGGATGAGAGTTCACCTCATACCATCGCTAGGGGACTTCAGAAAATGCATTAAAGAGGGTCGGAAAATACAATTTGATCCAAGCCTGAAGGAGCCAAAGGGGTACGAAAAAGGGATCGGATGTTCAGTCGTGAATGAAGATTGAAAGTCAGTGATAGACCTATATAAGATGGCGAGTATCATCTTGCCGAGAGAGGTTGGTCGTCCTCAGAGGCCAAAGTGATAGCTAGAAGACCAAATTCCTTAGACATGAGGTTTAAGGGAACACAAAATACAGATCAAGAAAGCCAATACAGAAGGAATACATCATGCTCTTCCTTAGTAATATCACCCCCACTGTACATTAAGCGCCTTACAAAAGCTTTAGGATGAAAATCCAACAAGCTTAAGTCATGAAACATGCGAGCCTCACAAGAATATAGAGTGAGTGACTCATCACTGTACGGCATGAGACCAGTTAAAGCATGAACGTCGAGTAAAGTGATGGACATGGGGCCAGTCGGGAGAAAGAAATAATAAGTAGAAGGCGACCAAAAGCAACAAAGAGTCGGGAGAAAGAAATAATAAGTAGAAGGCGACCAAAAGCAACAAAGACTAGCAAGCATATCGTAGTCGACGAAAAGAGGGATGCAACAGAGTTCGAGTGCTCGCTGAATTTGAAGTCTCTTCCATAAGGGTTCCATGATTGATTTGAGACGACTATACCATGTGAAAAACACATGATTGAAGGCAGGCAATAAATCAAACCTCTTATTAGTAAGAAGCCATTACCAGTCGATCAAAAGCCCTTGCTGAAATGGAAAGCGCTCTCTGGAATACCGAGGGAAACATTCGTCGAAGAATGAAGGCGGAGGAAGAGCCTTGAAGTAAGGGCCGACTATGAGTTCAAGAGGTCTGGCGCGATCTTCGTCCGTAGAACAGTGAACCGAGTTTACAGGATGTGTGGAAAGAACATCTCTTTTTTTCAGATGACGTAAAGAATAGAGCCGACCAGTATAGGTGCTCGTATGATAGCGATTACGGTTGGATGCTCTAGTACGAGGAGCCATGGGTGAACAGAGAAGCGAGGAGTCACAAAAGTGTGATAGTCAAGATGAAGACAAACTGGAAGATAAATAAAGGTGGAATGAAGGAGGAAATCGCTAAATAGAGAAGTCGAAAAGACATAAAGTCTCGGAAGAACGTGGGTAATCGTGACAGTTCACTTATGTCATGGGGCACGTGGAGCGAGAAAAGAGGATTCCCGTACAAGAGCATTCATTAATGGATGTAATTTAAAAGACCGAAAGGACGGGCAAGCTTCCAGCCGCAGATGTGTTAGGGCACGCATGAAATTCCTTCTGGAGTAAAAATTATGCTTCAAAACGTATTTCAAAATAAAAATGCGTTTATTAAAAAATTTTCGAAATATATTTTGGAGTAATTTTTACACTCTAAAATAAAAATACGTTTGTTAAAAATACTTAATTTCAGAATGCATTTTTAATTCCAGAATGCGTTTTGCATAAGAAAAAAAGAAGTTACTTTTTGTAGCTTCTCTCTTCCAGAATGCATTCTCCCTATTTTCTCTCTTTTTTTCACTAATTTTTTTTTTTCAGAAAATGCATAAAAATTAAAAAATTCCAGAAAAAATCATAAAAATTTCTAGAAAATAAAAAAAAGTCAGATTTCGGGAAAATAGGAAATTTGGCGAATTTTTTTCAAAAAATATAAAAAAATCAAAAATTTCAAAACTTCACAAAATGGCTTAGAATACCTTTGGACAACCACTTTGAGTGAAATTTAATTTTTTTGAGGTGCCCAAAAAAATCAAAAAATCAAAAATTTCAAAACTTCACAAAATAGTTTAGAATACATTTGGGCACCTACTTTGAGTAAAATTTAATTTCTTTGAGGTGCTTAAAAAAATCAAAAAATCAAAAATTTCAAAACTTCACAAAATGGCTTAAAATACCTCTGGGCACCCACTTTGAGTGAAATTTATTTTTTCTGAGGTGCCCAAAAAATAAAAAAATAAAAATAGATTTCTGTTCCAGAAATCAATTTCTGAAGCAGAATTAGTCATATTTTATCAAACAGATTTCTCTTTCAAAAATCAATTTCTAGCAAGAATTCCGAAAATCAATTTCTGGCAAGAATTTGATTTCTAGAGTAGAATGGTTATCATTCGCGCCCTTAATGTCTAAATAAATGTTAATGCCATGCATAAGGGCCAGATAAAGAGCAAGGGAGATCAGCACGGTTTCATTATTCACAGAGAGGAATACATTTCTTCGATAACAGCTCGAAAGGAAGAAAACTCTTTGTCCAAAGATAGATTTTCGACAAGGAGACGTGGCTTGAGAACGTTTTGACGATCCATGGCAGTAACATAGTCCTGAGCTTCCTTAGTACGCTGGGATACCTTCTTGACCTCGGCATCAAGGAAGCGCCATGATCTGGTCATGTTAATTTGATGAGCCAACAGCGCTCGGCGAGCTTCAACTAGTTTAGATTCGAGATTAGATACTTCTTTGACCAGGCAAGCTTCAGTGCTGATCATTGCTTCGTAAGATTTGAAAAGATGGTCGGCAGATTTCTTTTGCTTATCGATATCGGCAAGGAATGCTCGGGACCGCCATTCTGATATGGCCAAAGTCTGGAGTTGATCACAGTTCCTCTTGACAACCTCAAGATCCAAGATGAGCTTAGGGAGGTATGCTTCACAACGAGTGGGCAATTGAAGTTGGGCACAATTGGGATCTTCGCGTTGAGAAGGACTTGAGCTTTTGTCTTAAGGAGGGGGTCTGAAATAATTGCTGTGAGTCCACCCTCCGAAATCTTGAGGAACTCCTTGCATTTTTCCTTAGCAGAAAGACCAGAAGGATCATCATTGTACTCCAAAGGGGTGATCGAAGGCGTTGGTGTAGCTTGAAGAAGCGCTCTTCGAACAATAGCAACATCTTCGGAAAGTGGGAGTGCAACTCCAGTAGGATCAAGCTCAGAAGTTGATCCAGCAACAAAAGAAGTGGATCTACGACAAGAATGCTCAAACCAACAAACAATTGAGTATTAAAGTAGACCACGTACAAGAGAAAATAAGGAAAATCTACTCCCAAAGTGAGACTTACCACAAAATAGGGCAGCACCACGGCATAGATTATTGGTATAATAGAAGGTGATACCTGTTCTGAGGTCATCGGTATTACAGTCGAAAGATCAGATGCCGCACCTCGAGTTGGCATGTCATCTTTTGGAGACGCAGAAAGCTCAACCAGACCCTAGGGAGAACTATGAGTTGATAAAATAGGAGACATGCTTGGAATTAAGCCTTCAACAGTCCTACTCAGGGGAAGGCTAGGCTCTGATCCATCGACTACATTATCACCTAGTAAACCACTAAACTCCGCGGTATCATCGGCATCCTTGACGAGTGGGGAATCCAGCTCTGAGATGCAAGGGCTAGGAACCACCAGGGGAACATCACATGGAACCAGTGATAGTTTGGGCGACGGTAGTGTATCAGCAGGAGTGTTTTCCAAAGCTGGTTCTACAACTTCAATAACATCAGGAACGGAAGAAGAGTGGGAAGGCAAAGCAACGGCTTTTGGCACTTCAGCAGCAGACCTGGACATGTGTATTCTAGTCCTGGAAGCAACAGTACGCTCGGGATCTTCGGGATAGAAAAGTTAGTGAGCTACATGCAGAATTTTCTAAATAAACAAACATAAGAGAGAGGGACAGATACCAGGACTTAGCACCCTCTTCAGTTTCTTGCGGGAAGGAGAAGCTTGCAATCGTGGAGAAGTTTCGGGAGCCTTAGGGATAGAGTCATTACCGGCGACTTTGCCGATTATATCATCAACTTCAGTAGCAAAAAGGGTATCCCGATAGCCATTTCACCAGTTCTTAAAGCTTTCAAGAGCACTCGGGACAGGTGCAAACGAGTTTACCGCGAGATTCTTGGTTACCTCCATGTTGATCCGGCGACAGCAAACGAAAGGATTGGAAGATTTGGTGACTCCAAACAGGCGCTTTTTGTTGAAAGGAAAGTCCATTGAGTAGGGGGCAAGAATCGGAATACCCTGCGTCAATCCAAACTGCCGAGCGCAATTCTGAGGAGAGTGTACTTCAGCCCCTGATTTCAACTTCCCTTTAAGGGATAACCTCAATGCCAGATTAGAGGCCACCAAAACCGGAACCCAGAATTTTTGGGTCTCTTTAGAATGAGGGAAATAGAAAATATCCTTGAAATCTGGGCAAGAGAGTGGGCAAAAGTTGCTATCGCTCAAAGATACCTGGTAAAACTAGTGAAGATAATATTTGAAGGCAGAGGTTCCTTCAGGAATGGAATGCAAACAGAACCTTAACAATCAGGCTCCAGCGTTGTTCGGGAAGTAAGGTCCGGCCTTGTAAGCTGGAGAAAGTGGAATTCGAGACTCAGAAAATAGGAAAGGAAAGTATAAGTAAATCCAAGCTTGGAGAATCCAGAAGGGACCATAAAAGACCCCTGAAGTCATTTTACCCATGGAAGCGGATGCAAAACCAAACCTCGGTACAGTACAGCCAAAGCTAAGCGCCCTATGGCAATTGGCTTACCTTTCGATAAGTGAAAGGCCAAACCTCCAAGCTCTTTCACCACCTGAAGCGAGGGATGGAAAAAGAGAGATTTGGATAACCAATAGAGAAGAAAGGCAACATGCTCATCTTCTTCAATGGTACCCTTTCGAGAAGCAAATTCACTCAAGACATGAGTATATGAAGGCTCACCTTTCGGGAGGAAGTCCAGATAAAAGGAGGAGTCAAACAAACTAGGGTCCTCTTCCGAAGGAGTTAGTCCAAAAATAGCATAAACGTCAAGAAGGGTTACTGACATAGGGCCCGACCGAAGAAAGAAGCAATTGGCAGACGGAGACCAAAAACAAATCAGAGCATTTAAAAGTCTAGGGTTCAGTTTCTAATCGAAGGTGCAAAACTCAAGGGCCTTATTGATCTTAGCTCTCTTCCACGATTCTTCCATATTAGGCTTGAGCCTGTTATACCATTCGAAGAAATAGGATCAAAAGGAAAGAATGACCTGAGCCTCTGAGAAGTAGATGTCCAGACATAGCCTGTGATCCGCTCTTTCTGGAACGGAAGAAGCTTGGCAACGTGTCATGGAAAGCAGCCGGAAAGAAAAGGAGGAGGGCATGGTGTTCGAAGACAAGGGCCCAAGATGATCTCACTGCTAGACTCAGAAGGACAGTTTTGTAGCGACAAGAAGACATTGTCTG